GAATGTTTCCAACACCTTGTTGAATCTATGCCATGAAGAATTAAGGCACTTCTGAAGGCAAAAGGGGGTCCAACAAGGTGTACCTAATGAAGTGGCCCATTTTATATTAAATATATATATTTAATTTTTTTCATTATTAGTGATGCACCGGTAGATCAGCCGGTAAAAATTTCAGCCGAAAACAGGGTTATCAGTGTTTTGACAATAGAAAATAGAGGAAGGAACCAATTATGACAACTGACTTCAAAGCAAAAGCGCGTCCCCTTTACTCCAATGCAAATCCGCGTCCCCTTGCCTCCAATGCAAATCCGCGTCCCCTTGCCTCCAATGCAAACCCGCGTCCCGTTGACCCCAATGCAAACCCGCGTCCCCTTGCCTCCAATGCAAAACCGCGTCCCATTGACTGCAATGCAAAAGCGCGTCCCCTTGCCTCCAATGCAAATCCGCGTCCCCTTGCCTCCAATGCAAATCCGCGTCCCGTTGACTCCAATGCAAACCCGCGTCCCGTTGACTCCAATGCAAACCCGCGTCCCGTTGACTCCAATGCAAACCCGCGTCCCGTTGACTCCAATGCAAACCCGCGTCCCGTTGACTCCAATGCAAACCCGCGTCCCGTTGACTCCAATGCAAACCCGCGTCCCGTTGACTCCAATGCAAAACAGAGTACCGTTGACTCCAATGCAAAACAGAGTACCGTTGACTTCAAAGCAAAACCGAGTCCCGTTGACTACAATGCAAAACCGCGTCCCATTGACTTCAATGCAATGTATTTTTTTTTTTATTCATATTCATTGAAATTCATATTACTTAAAAAGTTGAATACAATTATATATATATATATATATATATATATATATATATATATATATATATATATATAAAATAAATATATTTTTTATAAGAACTGTTCATTTTCACGTCGGTGCATCACTAATCTATATCTGTCTATCTATATACACACACACACACACGTGCACTGTTAAACCACCAAAAGCTTATACTGTATACATACAATATGGAAAGGGAAAAGAAAAAGGTGGCGTGAATCAGATCCCAGAATGTACTCAACACAAACAGAAATACAAATAACTCTGAGCCAAACATGCAGACATAAACAGAACAATTGTAGCCAGAGACTTACTAATAAGCTCTGTGCAAAATTAAAATTTACAAGTACATGTAACAGAGCTATGGTGAAAGAACTGTGCTAAAGTGAAGCAATAATTTGAAGGCCATCTCGTGTGTTCTTTTAGTGTAGTATAACATCTCCACCAAGGTTTTAGCAATGTGCTCAAGGCTCTGTACCAAATTGATAAGATAATGCTCCACAGTTAAAAAAAAAATAAAAAAAATAAATTCTGTAAAAAATCATACTGAGCAAGGATTCACAATATAAAAGAACCCTGCGCTGAGAGAAATAGGAGGCATTGTGAACCTTATGCTGAAAATACTTTTTGCCAGGCCATCATGCTGATCTAGTGGCTTCAATACAGAGCCAGAATCATTTACCCTGAACAAGTATGCCGTAAGTTAAAAGAGAAGTGGAGGAATGGAAAACAACATTTATACTTACCTACATGGCTGCAGCATTGATTCAAAGCTGCAGCTGTCCACCGCAGGCTCTGAGCAAGCAAATACTGCTGATCGCTCAGTTCTTGGGCCACTCTATACTCTGCCCCTCCAGTGCTCACTGAAGTGCTGGACTGTGCAGGTGGCGGGACAGGATGGCTCAAGTTCTCAGTGGTGCACTGAGAGGCTGAGCCTGCTGCCGGTCAGGCATGTAAGCAGATCCCAACATTCTCTTTGTAGAAAGCTGTAGAGCTTGGACTGCAACCAGCGGTTCTACCTGGGATTCTCCAATGATTGGTGCCCAGCAGTGCCACTCACCAGTGCCGCCCACAAGTGCCCAGCAGTGCCGCCCACAAGTGCCCAGCAGTGCCACCCACCTGTGCCCATCAGTGTCATTCACCTGTGCCGAGCAGTGCCACCCACCAGTGCAGCCCAGCAGTGCCATCCGGCAGTGCCACCAGTCAGTGCCCGCTCATCAGTGCTGCCTATCAGTGCCCATTGTGACATCAGATCCCAGCCCTTTACACCCAACTCGTGACCGAAGAACTAGCCAATCTAAAACCGCGATGTCATGTGCGTAACAATGCCATGCCCAGCTGCACCCTGCACAATGATTTTCCAGCTAATGGACCACAATCGATGTACCGGCAGCCTGAGCGCGATTGTTACTGGGACAGGTTAATTACGCAACTAACCCTTCACACTGCCACCACCTCCTTTTTGTACAGAGAAAGAGGAAACTTGGCAATATCAGCAATAACACTATGATGGTTGAAATAATCGTTTGTATACCACTGTCACCGCAGGCAGGTTATACAGAGGGTTAAAAACACACAGTAGCGCTCTTCAGCGGCAGGAATTCGTAGTTTGCATTAAAGGCGTTAGAAACAGTTCAACACAACAGAAAGTAAGATTTATTACTAAAAAGGTCAAAAGGATGCAATAAAAAAATATTTACAGCAAAAGATGTAGCATATATATATATATATATATATATATATATATATATATATATATAAATATACAGAGAACAATAGTACAGCAAAGAGATAACAGAAAGGAATTTAGAGGGTTAAAGTACTTGCCGGTCAGCCTTGGTGTAAGCAGCTTCAAGTTTCATAAGTCAAAAGGATTTCTTGTCTCTACTGTCAGTTTCGATGTTAAACAGGAGACTCTTCTTTTCTCTCTCTCTCACACACCAAGCATAACCGCCTTTTTCTAGGATCTCAGCAAGGTGTCTCCCTGGAGCAGTGAAACCAATCGTCTCCTTTGGGGAGGGGAGTGTAGGTGGAGCCCTAAGTTATGACTAGAAACTCTCATAGCTGCTATTATGATTCATAACTCATTCTCGGGGTATTTGCCAGCCTGGGCACTAGTATATTAATACTCAGCCGCATCTGCAGAATGGTTACAGACGAAACATGTCATATCTACTTGAATGGTTCAGGAGATATAATTTTCTGCTCTCTTACATGTGTCAGATAAGGGGTGCAGCATACCAGGAGAATGTTCTCAAAGTGAGCCGTCCGAATATGGGCTCCATGTTTAGGTAATTATGTCCTACGTGAAGTTATCAACTTATATGAAAAAGTGAGTTTTTAAAAGTAAGTCTGTTTTTACGACCCCTTGGAAGGTCTTTTGAAGTTCAGTGAGGGACTTGGTTTACACTTTTACGATATCCCAGATTGCACAGCGAACAGACAGCTAGGCACCTAGCTGGTGAGGTTTTATAGCCAGGATGCCCTCCCACTGGGTTTCGATGCCTTTTTGAACTCTGCATCAAACAGACCACATGTCACTCAACAGAGAGGGAGGGGGATGAGGAAAGAAGGAGAGAGAGATATGATTGTACAAGATGGACGGTCCTTTGCCAAAATGGAGGTTCGTATCTGTCTCTGTGTGCACGATTGCTACACCCATCAGTGCCGCCTATCCGTGCCACCTCATCAGTGCCGCCTATCAGTGCCCATCAGTGTTGCCTATCAGTGCAGCCTCATCAACGCACATCAGTGAAGGAGAAAAATTACCTGTTTGCAAAATTTTATAATAGAAACAAAGAAAAACTTTTTTTTTTTAATTTTTTGCTCTTTTTTGTTTATAGTGCAAAAAATAAAACACCCAGAGGCGAGTAAATACCACCAAAAGAAATTTGTGTGAAAAAAAAAAAAAAGATAAAAATTTCATATGGGTACAATGTTGCATGACCGTTGACAATTGTCATTCAAAGTGCAACAGCGCTGAAAGCTGAAAATTGGCCTGGTAAGGAAGGGGGTATAAGTGCCCGGTAGGCAAGTGGTTAAAGTAGATTTTGCAAGGCAATGTCCATATGTACTGTCTGGGCACCTTTGCCTTCTATAAACTGCCTGCTAACAGTAGGTCTAAAAGTTATTTGTAAAAGAAAATAATTGGACTTTATTCTTACCTGACCACAACCCCCCTCCCCCTTCCGCCTTGCGGATTATGATCTCACCATCCTTCCAGGAAGTCTTGGGGAATCCAGAACAGATCAATTCTAGTGAGAAGACACTCCACTGTTGCAAGAGCATCTTAATGACTGGGTTGCTCTGTATTCCTCAGAATCACACCAGCAAAAAAAAAAAGAAAATGAGGTCATCCTTACCTAGACACCGTGGGCCGAAGACGGGTTAGGCAAGTATACAAATGAACTTTAGACTTCACATAACTGCTGAACGTACTATTAGCAGGCATTTTATACATGTGGAAAGGGCCTAGACAGTATGTGTGGACTTTGCATAGTACCGCGTTCACAATCAAATCACAATCAGAATACTTCTTCCATAACAGTGAATCAGAGTGCTGAAACCACTAAATCAGCACCATAGTATCATCATCAAATTGTTTAAAACAAATTTTAATTAGAGTGGTACCTCAAACTGAAACACATATGTAAAGGTTTTAGCTGTAAAATGGTTTATAATTCTGTTCAGTCAGTTTTATGGTTTACACACCCAATGCATAGATAAGCTAGTAACAACTGTTTCCTGGTTGATTTTTTGATCATGCGATTTCCATGCGGAAGCCACGCCTGCAAAACACACTGTGGGCTAAGATGCGTGGGGGTGTCATTCAGAATGAATGGAAGCCCCGCATGTCACCAAAGAGCAGTGTGATTTGGTTGTGGGTGGGTGTGGGAACAGATGTGGTTCCTACAGCCCGCACAGTGTGAACCGAATGTAAGAAGAAGGTTAGAAAATCTGTGAAATATATCCATTGCTAGACTAAATAAATAAATATATATATAAAAACACACACTTTACGGTAAAACATAATACAGTGCATTAGGATTCAACTTCACTACAAAATAGAGAGGGAAAATCTATGGGGTGGGGGTACAGATGAGAAGCTTGGCAGCTGCTTCAAACCTTCCCCCTCCATAAAAAAAAAAAGGTATTCCCAGGACTTCCCCATACCTAGTTCAGTTCTCGCTGCTCCGAAACCATCATAAATCCGCAGGTAACTGGAATGACACGAATCAACATCCTCAATATCAAAGTCTCCAAACTTTAGCAGAATCCGTTCACCAGACTTAACCTGGATTTTCCATTCACACACGGTGCTGTTTGGGTAGGTGTTCGGATAGTTTTTTGATGTAAAAGTTCCACTTTCTTGGCCAAAAAGCGTGTAGCCACAACCATCTCCTAGAACAAAAAAAAACAAAGTAACATAAACAAGAGTTGTAACATACCACACAATGAATAAAGCACCATTGTCTGGCCTTGTAACTACCACAAAAATAAAATGTCAAGACAGATTTACTTAATACCCAAGTGTAAGACCTTGGCCTCTTCAGATTCTGTGCTACTAAATGTCCCACAATACATGGGCATTAGTGAACAGATGACACATAAACCACTGTAATGCATTTTAGCTTCTACTCGATATCTGTAGATTTGTCCGATTTGTAGGAGAAATTTGCTTTAACATTTACAATTTTATTTACAGTTTGGTGAAAACTAAAACCTCATGCTGGTTAGACTACCCAAACGACAGACAATAACTTTCTTGCATAATGCTTTTGCTTTTCATTTTTTTCTGCTCCACCTGACAACGGCCCTATTTATCTTTTGTTCCAGCTCTCATAAATCAGTGCCAAAATATTCACTCCTCTGGGCAAAAAAATCCTAGCCCTGACTGTTTTTTCTCAATTTGGTTTTTCAGGTTGCTGCAATCACTCAGACCTATTAGAGCAGATCCGCTGCAAGAAGCCCTTTAAACCCAACAGAAGTCCAGTTTATCAAATAAAATTAGGATGCAGCAAAGTCATCAGCGTCCTATGTCTCACCCTTTATTTATTTGCAGTGTTGTGTAGAGGATGATTGCTGCTTCATGTCACACCTACAACTGTCTGACCAGTTACTCTTTCATTCAGGCAAGATTTAAAATATAGAAAGATTTTTTTCAGAACTGCACCACAGAATATTTAAAACATGGATAATTATTGGTGCTATCTATGGATGTAAAAGCATCAAACAGCAAATTCAATTTACAGAAAGCGCCTGTATATAGATCTCCTATAGATCACCTATAGATCTCCTGATAAATAAAATTCCAGTATCAGTATGAATTCCAATACATGTGCAATATAAATGTGAAAAACAAAGTGCAAAAGTGCGATATAGTGCAAACATATACAGTACAAGTGCTAATTCACTTAAAGTGGTACTAAACCCAGGACCCTGCATTCACTATATCGTGTCCCCTATAGTACACTGAGCTTGAAAATGCAATTATTTTAGTAAATATAAATCATTAAATACTTTTTCTCATCAGCAGTGCATAGCCGCCCTGTGACGTCTATCAAGTGTCCAGTTGAGCACTGGCTAAAGCTTGTAAGAGGAGATTTCATTCTGTTCTGACTTTCCTATGAGGCCGCATAACCCCTGATCCTCTGGCCTTGTGCTGATCAGATGCACCCCCCCCCCCCAAAGAAAAAAAAAAACCTCTCTAGCCATACACACTAAACTGAGCATGTGCAGGGTGACTCCTAGAGCTCTGTACTATCCGCAATTGGATTGGGGACAGTAGAAGAAGAGGAGGGTAAGAGAAGACAGAATAAAACATCCTTTTTACACAATGTGGAGGGTTAACCACTTATGTTCCACAGTGAATATAACAAGCATGCTTTACTGCATATACAGACTGATTTTACTGTTGTGGGTTTAGTAACACTTTAAAGTGTCCTGTGCTCCTAAAATACAGATAACAGTATGAAATATTCAAATCCAAAGTCCCACTTTTATAACATGCTCCACCTTCAGTGAGAACACCACCATCACCACAAATCACCAAGCACTGACCAGAAACTATGGCTGGTACAATTTAAAAACCAGTAAAAGTGCATATAGATGCAGGACTTGACTCTCAATAACACAGGATCTCCTTTACAGAACATTCACAAGCCATATTCCTTAATCATAGGAAGCGTAAAGAGCGGGCCAAAGGAGTGAAGAACTATCATAGTATAAACCCATCTAAAAAGTACACCATATACTTACATCGATTTGTGCCACACATGACACTAGTATTGAGCATATATTCTTGTTACCAGTCCATCTTCAGTGGCATCCTCCGACCACGAGCTTGGACTTATAATGCATGCTAAAGTCATGTCAAAGCCCCACCCTACGCGTTTCATCACCTGACATCTTTTGTCCCTGAAAGACTCCTGAGGTGTACTCATGAGAACCAAGTACATATCAGCTACTCTCCACGCGCAAATAGATAAAAAGATACAAGTGTTAACCTAATATAGTGCATTGGAGCATCTTATTTAGAACATCTTGACAAAAAGAAAAAAAAACAAAACGATCATTTGGTCCAAACCAGATTCTGTTTCATGCTGGCCTTACTTATGACAATATTTGGGCCATTACAGCCATGTCCAGTAGTTTTCACAAAAATTGGTAGGCACAGTTGGGTTGGCAAAATAAAATTCTTACAATCTTCTAAGGAATCCTTGGTGCTTTTAAAATAACAATTCTTGAAAATTCTGCTATGTTCAAAAGAATCCTTTATAAACAAAGCTAAATCTAAGCTGGCCATACCCATTGTTCATTGAAGGACAATTTTCCATCCCATTCCTTCAAATTTTTTCATCACTGCAGTCAAAAAACAATTGTAGATTTGACCCCATTAATGAGTATCTTATCTGGCCAGGAGATGAATATGTGATTTAGCACTTGAAAAGACTACTCTCCTCCTCACAGGGGGTCTTCCTGCACAGTACATATGACTCACAGGGAAGGTGGGGGTCAGTTTAGTTGTTTTCAGAAAGTCAGAACGCGCACGTAGGAAGAGATATGAGAATATTCTTCAAAAGTCTGTAGACTAGAATTTGGGTATCACACAGGTGAACTAATTTTGTGCATTGCTTGACAAGCATAGCCAACTACAAAAGCGGTTGTGGATTTTTAACCTTGAAATCTTTCTCCCGTTTTTTTTTTATAATTTACTCTTTATTGATTTTCAAAGTGCTTTCAACAAACAGAATAGCATAGAATCGCAAAATATTCACAAAGCAATAAAAGAACATAGGCTCATCGATGAGAGGCATATACGGTAGGTATATAATGTCAATACATAACAGTGAATTAGCCATCATGTTCAGAAAACTGAGTAGGCAAATCAGAAATGGAAAGATCCCACGGTTCCCAAACTGCCTCAAAGATGGGGACAGAGTTAGCATGCAAAGCAGTGAGCTACTCCATTCTTGTGATCTCGGCTATAACCTTCACCAACTCCGATCGTGTAGGAGGCATAGTAGAAAGCCAATGCATGGGAATGGTTCTCCTGGCCGCTGTTAAAACATGGGAGGATAGTTTATTTTATTTCAGGTGCTTATATAGCGTCGTCAATTTACACAGCGCATTACATATATATTATACATTCACATCAGTCCCTAACCCTCAAGGAGCGTACAATCTAAGGTCCCTAACTTACATTCATACATACACATACTAGGGCCAATTTAGATAGGAGCCAATTCACCTACCAGCATGTCTTTGGAGTGTGGGAGGAAACCGGAGCACCTGGAGGAAACCCACACAGGCACAGGGAGAACATGCAAACTCCAGACAGGTGGTGCCGTGGCTGGGATTCGAACCAACAACCCCAGGGCTGCCAGGCGAAAGTGCTAACCATTTAGCCACTGTGCTGCCCATGGTAGCTCCCATTTTTTAAATTCTGGCACTACCATTATGAAGACAGACACTGTTCGTGACAGGCGGCATTGATCCATTCGGGTATTTTTGTAATAAGCTAGCATGGGTAGCATACTCTACACTTGTCAGTGCATACCTTTACCTGTATTATAGGCCGAAGCAAAAGCATAGTCACAATGGATGTGCACACGGTGACTTTCATTGTGGTTATACGCATAGTCGCAGGGCAAAATACACCTAATTATCGTATGTCAAACCTCTGCACTCGCTCTGTCTGGAGTCTGTAACTTATGCCTATTACTTAATGCCCAGTGCTAAATTATATGTCACGTCATAACAGATGTTAATAATAAATACGGACATTCAGATAAAATTGTTAACGTCAATATACAATTCAGTTTGCACTTAATCATTGCACCAGAACAAGGCTCATGATTTACGACTGCTCCCTGGGTAGAGAACTGAAACAATGGCCATGTAGAGGACGCTGAGCTTTATTGACCAGTACTGTAGAAGTAAATGCATCCTGTCTTCACTCAATCAATGTTTTACCTCTTGTCTAGATGAAGCAGTCCGACATTAAATTCTGCTAGTAGTCGGAGAATGTGCCGCACATAAGAGGCCTGTTTTTTTTTTATGCCTTTATTACATTTTCTGTTTTTATTGAGCTACAGACCTGCTACTTAGAACTAAAAAAAACATGCTTAGATTTGGGCAAGTAACACAGTGGAAGTGCTAAAACAGTGCGCAGAAATGAAGCAGTGAGGTCTATGGTATAAATTAGACACTACTATGGGCCAACAATCCATACAAATTGGAAAACAATGGCCCTCTATGCTACACTGTACATCCAGGGTTAAAGAACTTTTCTAAATTGCATTTTGCATGTTGGTCCCTCTGCCATCTACTCAACAAGACCACACTGTTGAAAGACTCCAAATGTTTGGGTTATTCCCTCCCAGTTTTCAGCAATAGCAATTAGGGGAAGTGAAATCTTTGCAAGCTTACATTGCATATATATTTGAGACATGGCACCTGTGTGACTTTCATATCAGGCTACATTCACACATTAGGCTTCGATCACACCTGGGTGTTTTGAACTGCGGGCACAATTGCTGCGATTCTGTCCGCGATTTCACCTTGCCCAAGTGTGAATGGAGCCTAAGCGTCTTATTTTGAAGCATTTTTTTCCAAGCGTTTTTTGGAGCAGCATTGAATATTTTTGCAGCTTTTTTTTAGGCATTTTTTCAACTCAGGTTGCGAGTGCTGCTGAAAAAGCAGCGGAGAGCTGCTGTTTGAGCAAAAAATATGTGAAAAAAAAACGCTTGAACACACTCATGTCATGCTTTTCAGGCATTTCCATTGAAGTCCATGGGGACAAAAACATTCAATTCGGCATGAAAAGTAGTTTGTGTTCTTTTCCGAGCAACAGGTATTTTGCTACAAGAGACAGAACACTCAGATGTGAACAACGGCTAT